GGCTATAAAAATCCAGATCACGTTCGGAAATCGGCTTTCGTTTCAAGGTCAAATCACTATGCCACGTCGCGACGCTGCGACACGGAACATCGCCATTGAAAGAATGCACGCTGGAGATTATCAACCTTCTGTTGCAAGTCGTCTGAATGTTTGTCTGAGCACGATATCACGGCTTGCAGCTCGTTACAACCGAACGGGTATAACAAATGACCGTCCCCGTACAGGCAGACCTCGAGTCACCACTGCAGCCCAAGATCGGTACATTTACGTGATCGTACTGCCACGTGTGAAGGCACAGCAGCCAGGGCGCCTGGACTTCGGAAGATATCCGGTCAAACGGTACGGAACAGTTTGAGAAAGATTGGACTGAGAGCCAGAAGACCAGACGTCGGGGTCGTGCTACGTCGACACCATCGCGCTCAGCGTCTCCGTTATCTAAAATTATCCACTTGGTTGTATAGACATTACCTTCTTCTAAACTGATGTAAAACTTCATGTACTAAACTCTATTTGTGGATGAGTTATACGTGTTTGAAAATACAACATTTTCTCAACAGATTTCTGGGTTATGCGTTTCTTTTTTGGAACAGTATATATTGTTTACTAATATCCAGGCTTGTCAAGGTATTAGTGTTTGTTCCAGAGCAGAGTAGGTCAGCCTCCTTTGAAAATGAATATTATTTCAATTATATTGAAGAAAGGTTTTCACAGACGATGTGTTAGTCTAGTGTTAGTCCTAAACTGACTTTCTTTGGAGATGAGTGAGTGAGTGAGTTGGCTTTTACGCCGCCTTTAGCAAATATTCCACCAATATTACGGCGGGGGACACCAGAAATGGACTTCATACGTTGTACACATGTGAGGAATCGAACCTGGGTCTTCGGCGTGACGAGCGAACGCTTTAACCACAAGGCTACCCCACCGCCCCTCTTGGTAGATGAAAAACTTAATCACAGTCTAGGATTTGGTAAACGCTGGGAATTGTTTTAAACTTCAAAATAACGAGTTCCTTTAGTCATTTTAGCCACGTGCCTGTACTTATCATATTAGAAGGGTTATAGGAACTGTCAAGGCAGTTTAAAACACTTCCACTTATGTTCATAACAGTGTTTCAAAGTTTTCAGTCACTGATAGATTTGACATTTCCAGTCAGCCAAACTGTGCTCGTTACACGTACCTCCTCCTCTACAAACCTGGTAAATATAATGATCAAATTGTAGTTATGATATTTATGGTCTTATAATGATATGCATTCACGTGTCTTTACAGCTCTAGAATATTAAACACATGACGTTCCATTTTTAGCCACCAAGTTCAATGTTGTCCGCGTCAAACTGCGACTGGTTGCCGCATAGCTCAAGGTACCTACATTGTATAAAACTCCCCTTTTCAAACGCTGTGAATTGAACGGATTTAGTCGTCAAAACGGTTGAGTGCGCAGCTTGTAAACTCTTTTAGTATTCTCGCACCTGAACGAGTTCGGTTATTGATTTCATAAATACTTAAACAAATTACGTTCACCGCCCGATCCATTCGTTGTTCAGTAATAACGAGGCAGTACAAACCAGTTAGACAACCATTCGGAATATATATAAGACGTAATGTGTTCTTAAAACGAAGAAGCATGTGTCATTGTTGTTGTGTTCAGTTTTACTGTAATCAGAATAACTCTCATATAAAAGGTAAATATGACTATTAAACATTGTAATGGCTATTACAGAGTCGACTGTGGGGAAAGATAATCATGGGCCATCATGCGGCATTTTATGGTCTACAAGTACGAAGCTTATTCTATATTCTGATATCAGATGTTTGGGAAAAGGTTAGTCTACCCGGACCCACCAAGGACACAATATTACAAACACATGCAAAGGCAGGTTAATTGTTCAACTGAAAACCCACGTTAACACATCGTAAAAGTTAAAAAAGGGAACAGCATCAACATCTTGTTTGTATCTGATGTGTCAAATTTGGAAATGTCGCAATGCAGTACGCTATGAGCTTTGAAATGTTCACCCGGTACGGGAATGCCAGTATTTAGGTGTTGAAGTTCATTTTTCGATTTTCTTGCAAAGAGTGACAAATCAATACATTATACAACTGCAGGGAGCGCAATGTCATCTACGTTCTGTGTGAAATCCATGACCAATTAACTTGTACCAGCTGTGTACGTTGATAGGACTCAAAAGTTGATAATTGGATGCAAATTTAGACAAATTAAGTGGTTTGTCGGATGTTATGAGAGGAGGTTGACAGCCTTACTGAGCTTGGTCTTCGACGTGGTTGAACAATTCAGCTACTACCATGGCTACACCATCGCAGATTGTGTCTCTCTTTAGCGACTGAGTGTGGTTTTATGACGCCTTTAGCAATATTCCAGCAACATCACGGCGGGGGACACCAGAAATGGGCTTCACACATTGTACCCATGTGGGGATTCGAACCCGGGTCTTCGGCGTGACGAGCCAACGCTTTAACCACTAGGCTACCCCACCGCCCAGTGTTTCTCTAAAAACCGAAAGACATGCGCCCTGCCAGTTGCAAAAGTGTCCTGAATGTTGACTCAAAGCTCAGGTTCCATATTCTGCCACCCTGCAGAACATGCCGTGACTGATATCATGAGCACCTATCTACGTCATTAGTACACGATGGCATGCATCACCCAAGTCAGCGACCCCGATCCTGTTAGTCGACTCTCATTACAAGTAATTACCCCAAAGTACTATCCAACAGGCCTCGCGATCGATAGTACAACTCCGACCTTCAAACCCTTCACAAATAATATGCTTAATTAGCACCCGGAAACAATAGTCTAGCGGATGTTAGCGGTTAACCTTGACCTTTGATCGATATAGCACGTGGGAACTACAGGAGCTCTCTCTAAACAAGCCGGTGAGCTGTCTACATTCCTCTATCTGGGGGTAATCTACTGTGCGGTTACAAAATAAAATGTAATGGCGTGTAATGACCCCTCAATAAGGCATACGAAATAGATACCATGTTGACGACATGAACACTCTGTAACTTGGTGTTAAATACACAGACGTAAGTTAGGCTACACAATGTTTACTCCGACGTCTCAACATTCTATAGAATATAAGTGCCAGTCCAGTATAATGGTTTGTGTTCAACCTCCCCTGCTTAGACGCTTATAACAAAGTTGCATTCATTCGTCTGTGTACAGAGGCAATAAATTCCGCGAGACTTCACAGTAATCAAATCTTGTCTTTTTAAAAAAGAAGTAATAAACACCGTACTTAAATGTTGGTATACGTATCATCGACTAAATAATATTGCACTCATTCGCCTGTGTTCAGCGACATTAAACTCCGCGTGACTTCACACAGGGATAATCTTTTAATCTGTTGATAGTCTCCCTGCTTCACAGTAATCAGGTCTTGTCTTTTTTAAAAAGATGGATAGTAGATCGTAAAATAATGTTGGTATGTGTGTGTTTTGTCATTGACTAAACAGAGTTTGTCTCACGAGTACAATACCTGACGTCATCACATCACTGTGCATCTAGCATACTGTAATCATACTTATAAAAGACGTGTGGCTGTTTTTTGTTTATTTTCAAAAACACCTGTATCACGTGATAGCAGTAGGTTGACAATCAAGGTAACCAATATTTTCTTATTGAAAAATGAAACAGTTTTCTGTCGACACAAATGAAATAGTATTCGTCATCAATAACAAGAAAAAGTCAAGAGAAATTGCTTTCTTCAAGAATGATAAATAACTGGAGGACAAGAAGAAAGAATATACATTAAACACGTGCAGCAATGTATCCAATGTCCTATTTTCACAAAATATATGTATACATGTAGTCTGTCTCACAGTCCCTGAACCACATTAATTTCACTACTGCCAAGACCTCTCTGCAGTGCTAAAGACCTAAATAAAGCAAGTCTAGATTTCCTCAGGTTCTGAATCTCTGGTCTCCCTAGGGCTCCTTTTCAATATAAATGGGCTTGTTTGTTACTATCAAAATTATATATATTCAGAGACTAAGCCTTAGTCTAGTATACATGTAGCATGCTACAGTCCTGTCATGCCTATAGTTATAAATCAACCGGTCACAGCTGTTTTCAGGCATGCCGAGTTGTTCATGTCAATCAATATCACAATACCGACAGAAACGCACAGGTAGTGTAGCCTGGCGGGCCGGATGGAAATAACACAAGACGAGTTCCTCAGGAGAGTCACGTGACGATTCTCCATTTAACCGTAAATGATATTATCATGTATATATCTGTTTACACTTAAGTGTTCATGTTTACCAATCACTTGTGGGTATGGATAATGGTTGTGTTTCATTCTAACGTTTCTTGTGCGAAAGCGACATGTTGTTATCGAGAGTCTATTGATGTTTATTTTTCTTGTATTTCAAATCTGGGGCAGTGTCACTCAGGTCCATTCAAATCACGGTTTGTCGTCTTTCAAGCGTTATGACACCGGAGTGTTCTTATAAATCTAAGCTGCACTAAATGGCCGATAAATGGAAAAAATGAAATACAAAATTTACATATCTTTAAATCCCAGTTTAAGAGTAACGAAAGACTGTGGACCTTTAACAAAGTATCCCGTCTATATCAGCTGATCGTAACCACGTTGTTAGGGTGTGTCGATATATATTTCGTTATATCCTAAATAATGTAATAGACGTCACCATTACGAATAAACTAGTTTTAAAAATGTTCGACTTCCGTGTAAGGGAATGATAGCTTTTAAAATGTTTGAGAATTGTAAACAATTTCTCCTCTGACAATGTTCAGTGATCAATAAGCGAGAACGGTAACATCCGATTACTACAGTTGACTTTAAATATAAATGTTGGGATATTTGTCTAAACAATCCTTACACTGACTATAAACAATGGTTGACAAAATACAATGCTTTCAAACAACCACACAACACACGGCGTCATCACGTGGTACGCTCCATCGCCTCGGCATCAATGTAAAACCTGAACAAATCAATGATTATGGCATACTTACGATGAACACAAAGTTGACGAAGAACAGGAGGTATTTCACAAACAAATTAACAGCACTCCGATCGAGATCGGGACGTTGTCTTCCTCTCGCCATATTGGAGATATCCAAGTCCCAAGACTACGTGATCCCAGGTCTCACTCACGCGGGGCAGGGCAGTCGGAGTGCGTCGTTCACCTGAACCATCTACCCGGAACAGAAGCTACAGTTGGGAGTAGTTTGGAGGGCCATTCGTCGGTCACCGGCAGGGCTCACACACACGCCTCTTGTTGGGGTGACTGTGTACGGAGCCCCGTGACTCAGCTCTACGTGTCTATATCTGTAGCGTGTTTGTATATTGTAGGTAGTGAGCTTCGGATGCTACGTACATCATGCAGCATGCATGTAGACTGTAGACTGTATCATATTCTCCACCATACTATTTCCCTTCCGCCCAGCCTTAACGCACAAGCTCCGAATGAAGCAAGTCTATATTTACCTCAAGTCAAGGAATGCTTACCACTGGCTAACCGTGGCGCCTTTTCAATTAAATGGGGTTACATGTTTCTATAAAAATATTTATTTCAAGAGGCAAAGCGTTTGCAGCCTAGACAACAGTACATGCGGAAATGTTCACTGAACGGTATAATCCCCAAACTGGCAGTCTCCAGATGACGTAATTAGGGAGGTGTTATCAACTGCCAGAAATGGGACATACAGAAATTGCACTGCCAGAAATGGGACAGCTACCATCACTATTTACGACTAATTGGTCTGTGTGAAAATGAAATTGGGTTAGTTAAGCCTTAATTAATCCATTGCTACCTACCTAATCAATTGCTACTTGGGCAGGTTAATCCTTTTCTCATCTAATGATTATGAACACAGTGTGAACACAGTGTTTGTCTTTGGGAACTTTTTTCTGATATGGTTTCAAGGCTTGAACTCTGTGATCAGTGATATATCCTTGAATCTGAAGTCTAAGGTGATTCATCCAGTGAAATACCATGATTTTTGTTATGCTTGTATATAATAAAATCTTATGACTTTCCAACCATGTTTCTTTTATTTGCTTGTGTCTCTCATGGTAAGGTATCATTGATCAATTAAGTTAATCCATTTAATTAGCCCACTTAAGTCACTCAAGTCCAATTAGTAATTTATTACCTATCAATTAAGCGGTGTGAACAGCATACTGCCAGAAATGGGACTCATGGAAGTCGCACTGCCAGAAATGGGACAACTCGCTTAACCAATAATTAAAAGGTGTGATAAATCTCACTGCCAGAAAAGGGACTAAATCCACTGAACATCTATACATATTTATGACAGGGTTAGATAAATCAGCTTCTACGTGTATCCTCTTATAAAAGTTCTCTTTATATATCCGCTTTACTTAAAAAGACCCCTAGCGCCTTGTCACGACATGAGTGCAATGTATTTAAATGACTCACAGGCTAGATACCGCTCTAGATAAATCATTCTGGAGACAATGTTTGAATTATCTTCTTGGTAGAAACAGGTATTGTCTTTGATATAATATAATATAATATGATATGATATGATATGATATGATATGATATAATAGATATAGATATGATATAATAAATATAATATAATATAATATAATATAATATAATATAATATAATATAATATAATATAATATAATATAATATAATATAATATAATAATAGAATAGAAAATATAATACAATACAATACAATACAACATAACATAACATAACATAACATAACATAACATAACATAACATAACATAACATAACATAACATAACATAACATAACATAACATAACATAACATAACATAACATAACATAACATAACATAACATAATATAATATAATATTCGTTACTATTACGTTTTAGGACTTAGTCTGGTTTGCGGTTCCCAATTATATATAATGGACGTAAGAGGCTTCCTGTGGATTGGCTGATTGGTGTCATCGAACCGTTGCTCTCAATATCGATCACAGGATTGTCATGTTCAGACTCGATTATGTCATATGGCTGAAATATTGCAGTGTCAAACAACAAAAACAAGATACCAATCTTTCAAAACACTTGCTGATACCGTTTGTACGTACATTAGTATTCTATATCACGTTGGTTTCCTATAGTAACCGCCATAAAATTAAGATGTGATGGTGCTATCTCATAAAAATTATCAGCATCAACGCCTCTTTTAACACCGGCTACCAACGTATAGAATATCAACACTCCTAACTTGTGTACAACCACGCACATAGGGTTATAACTCCCTCCCATGGTACCGGCGTTCCTGCAAGTGCACAGGATGTCTGTGGAATGTTACTATTTTTATCTCGGCTGAAGAGAATGGCAATGCAGTTACCCAATATTGATAGTACCGATCAAGGAGCTGATGCTACGATAATTCTATCTGCTGCAACACGTGTCTGAGATACGCCCACCTATCGCAGCTGTGCTGAATATATTATTGGTAAGAATGGAACCGTGAGTTTCAGTTTAAAATGTTTTTTGTCGGTGCATATTTGTCAGGATTTAGGTCAAGGAGACGTTATTGACTTTGGGTGGGTTTCTTCTCAGTGTTTGACATCTACACATGCAGCGAACTGGGTCGTATTTAGGAGGAGGGCTCGTGACATTTTATATTCACAGGGATTAATGGAGTACAGCGCCTATATATATATCAATATAAGTCGTGCGTCACGACTATATGGGTGTTGTACATGAGGCGATGTGAGTGAGTGAGTGAGTTTGGTTTTACGCCGCTTTTAGCGATATTCCAGCAATATCACGGCGGGGGACACCAGAAATGGTATTCACACATTGTGCCCATGTGGTGAATCGAACCCGGGTCTTCGGCGTGACGAGTGAACGCTTTAACCACTAGGCTACCCCATGGCGATGTGGGGTGAAATATGGTTTAATGTTGCATTCAAAACTCTCTGTGTGCGTGTTCTTCGTGTACTCCTTATCACTACCTGGTATATAGAACTACCCCAAAGAGATATCATGCAAGAGTTTAATATTGCTCCCCAACGTGTGAATATCCGGGTTAGAATTGGTTTTCAACAACCACTGCTTGTCGCAAGAGGCGACTAACGGGATCGGGTGGCCAGGCTCGCTGACTTGGTTGACACATATCATCGTATCCCAATTGCGTAGATCGATGCTCATGCTGTCGATCACTCGATTGTCTGGTCCAGACTCGATTATTTACAGACCGCAATCATATAGCTGGAATAATGCAGAGTGCGGCGTAAATCGAAACTCACTCACTCACTCCCCTAGTCATCTCGGTGGTCGTCATCGTGATGGGCGAACACTGGAGCTACACGGCTATCGTACCATCACACCGTGATATAACTGACATCATGTATAAAGAGACTTTAAACCAAAGTCACTCACACGCTCTCTCACTATGATTATGATGAATATACTCGTAACTCAAATATAACAACATTAACATATAACAGGACCATTCAGTGATGAAAAACATATTCTTAGTCACACATTCATGATTAATAACTTCAATAAAATTTAGTTCCTGGTTCGGAGATTGGGTGTTCCACAGCGATTTGTGTGCTGTAAGTTATGCAATCTCAAAAGTAGATCGACTTCACGACACAATATACCGCCACGCCAACGCAAGACGGCCATTTTACACTCGAAGTCGCCAGTCACGTTGTCCTCGCTTCAGTTCACACGGCCTCGCGATGCTGACGACGACATAGGTTGGGTCCTGACAGCATTGAAACACGATTTGTAGAAAACCGCATTGAGCCGTGGTGGAGGTATTGTCCCTTGGGCGGGCCACACTACAAAGCATGTTACCTGTCGTGGGATGAGACACAACCTCAGCGGTCAAACAGCGTTCACGCTGACATGGCGTGACGACTGAAGGGGTGTCGTGTGAGACGAGGGAGGGACAGGGAGGGATACTGATGGGGATATGATTGATGAGCGATTTGGTTACATATATATACCCACACATGTAATAACGCGTTATAACGAGAGATACGGGGTGCCGATTTGTTAAAAGAGAATTTTATGAGACATTCTCATGGTATTATGTATTTCTTTGCTTGTTGTTTAACGCTGCACTCAGCAATATTCCTACTGTACGGCGGTGGTCTGTGGATTAGCTAGACAGGACCAGACAATCAAGTGATTAACATCATGAGCATCAATCTACGCAGTTGGGATACGTTTAATCATTACATTGACCACGTGAGCGAACCAGTATATTGATCCCGTTAATCACCCAGCACGACAAGGATGGATTGAGACTGGGATATTGATGACACTAAATGACATTATCCCGATATTGATGACACTAAATGAGTGAGTGAGTGTGGTTTTACGCCGCTTTTTTGCAATATTCCAGCAATATCACGGCGGGGACACCAGAAATGGGCTTCACACATAGTGCCCATGTGGGGAATCGAACCCGGGCCTTCGGCGTGACGAGCGGACGCTTTAACCACTAGGCTACCCCACCGCCTGATGACACTAAATGACATTATCCCGATGTCCTTTTTCAGTCATAAAGCAGGAATACGCTGAGTGCGGCGTTAAACAACACAAAAACAAAAAGCAACAACAAAAAGCCTTCTTATAATGAAATGAATCAGAATTCATATAACGGTTCCCTTTACAACAAGGGCATTTTCCCAAAGCTATTATACGCTCTGGTTGTACACGCCGTGGAATCTCCTTGGCAACGGACAGTGGTTTGTCATCACGTGAATCACACCGTCGGGAGTGAGCTGGTATAAACACAAGTTGAATATAAATAATAGGATATCTTGTTTCAGTTTAACATTAGTTACTCAAAACATATGGTAGTTTTAAAATCTGACATTCCTTTTTGTTAAAACTGTGTGAATTTCTGCTACTTCAAGTCATAACGGGTTCATTTGATTATTCTTGAGTGGAAACGCAAGACACTCGGAGTTACGTCCCCTGAAACTCTCCTGTCAGAGCGTTTCCCTTTGCAGCACTCCTGTATACAGCGTGAATGTATGGTATAAATTAATTATCAATCATACCGTAGAAACACGGATTATCCATTTGGAGTGTGTTATCAGACTATGTAAAACTCAACAGGCCCCTGTGGAAATTATCAATGATAGCATGAACTCCAAAATTCATTAAAAAGTTTATTCGTAAAACATTATAACAAATTATTGGCATTTTGAAATATGGCGTCAAAATGTCAGGGATGAATCATATCGTCTACATCATTTGCATAATTCCATTACGTCGGAAACCAGACCATGTGTTTGTGATAATGAATAACATGAGCTTGATTAGAAAAATAAAATATATTACCATATATATATTTTGATTGAAAATGTAAACAATGGAATGATTCTTGAAATGAAACTGTTATTGATTAACGACAATTTTACGCATGTTCATGTGAATAAATCTTCTCCTTTCCTCTTGGTCACCGTGAAGGAGAAACCATTAATTCACAAGGCGTAGTGTTTATATTCTGAAACATTTAAGATATTTTGTCATCTTAAAACTGGTATGTTATATGTTGTACTCCATTATCATCGAATTACATGACACAAACTTGCTGATGCGAGTATTTTGATTGAACAGCTAAGTGATAAGATATAAAAATATATCGCACTGCACAAACGAGGATGGATCATAAACTGGTAAGCAGCACAGCGCTTATCACATCAACCTTAACCTTGATAAACACAACCTGTCGCTCAGTCTTTTTATCCTTACATTTTGCTAACATTAATCCATGCATCCAATGTAAGGATTGTGGGTATACGTCCTGTGTACGAACGACATCGACAAATCGGATGACTTTGACCAGATTTAGTCATGTAAGACGGACGGTGGAAACACAATACAGACATTAACAATCTTTGAATGGCACCGAGAAGTGATACACATTACAGGGAACCTTTATGGATACAGCATCTGTATTATGGGGAACATATGACGATTCAGAATATTATGTTACTCCTTCATGAAACAAATGAAAGCTAGCCAGCAGAGAGTGAGTGAGTTTAGTTTTACACCGCTTTTAGCAATATTCCAGCAATATCACGGCGGGGACACCAGAAATGGGCTTCACATAGCAAGCAGAGAGCTATATGTGTAAATGTTTTACAGTTTAGTTTTACACCGCTTTTAGCAATATTCCAGCAATATCACGGCGGGGACACCAGAAATGGGCTTCACATAGCAAGTAGAGAGCTATATGTGTAAATGTTTTACAATTTAGTTTTACACCGCTTTTAGCAATATTCCAGCAATATCACGGCGGGGACACCAGAAATGGGCTTCACATAGCAAGCAGAGAGCTATATGTGTAAATGTTTTACAGTTTAGGTTTACACCGCTTTTAGCAATATTCCAGCAATATCACGGCGGGGACACCAGAAATCGGCTTCACATAGCAAGCAGAGAGCTATATGTGTAAATGAAATGAAACAAAACAACATCGACATAATACAGAAGTTGAAATTGACGATATAGCATATACTGGTTACCGGGTTATGATACTGATACACTTGAACGTCCACTGTAATGAAGAGTCTGGATTACGGAGGGTTCACTGTATATGCGAAATTTTCTTTTGGGCTTCGACTATGAACACACGTGAAGCCTTTACAATGTGATAACTGAAAGACAAAAGTATTTCTAAAAGTTGGGATCACCCGATCTGATCAGTTTTAAATCAAACGAAACCTGTAGTGGTATGACATATTAACTCTGGCACACAGGGGCTTGTAACGCTAAAAACTGCCACCAAGGTATATACTGTCACTGACGGGGACTTAGTATTATATAAAAAGATAGTACTAAGGCCCCGTCAGTGACAGTATATACCTTGGTGGCAGTTTTTAGCGTTACAAGCCCCTATGCTCTGGCAATAAGAAAGAATCGAGTGATCCTTAACCCCCTTTTAGTAGTAAATACATTTTAAACGCTATTGCATCTTCCTCTCTTTAATATAAACACTTTGTGTTTTTGTCAAATTGCCCGCCCCGTATATTACGAAAAAGCAATCACCCTAAAAAAAGATCGTTTTAACCGAGGCTCGTGAAACACAGGCTCATTAATATCAGAAATCTTTCGTTCGTATCTGAGTAAAATATCCGATTTTAATGCGGTTTGTAAACCATCAGAACGATATATACTTCCAGTTCCAGGGACATGAGATCTACACAATATTAGTTGTTTCATTGAAGTCGATTGTTCGTTACATCAGGATTACATTCGAATAACGGCAGCCGTCCTCGTTACAATTACAAACATTACAAGACAAGAATTTGTAGAAGCGCCATAAAATCTGGATACGCGTTCAGGCTGCTTTAGGTAGTTTAGCGCTTACGAAATGAGACATGTTTTGTGTGCGTAAAGCAAATAAAAACGACAATAATATATAATACCTTGATAAACCGAAAACGTTTAAGTCTAAATAGAGCTTAAGTAACAGTACCGCTCCTATAGTGACAGTATGATCGACCTGAGAAGGAGTCGTTATATTCATATATCCATGAGTTCGAGTTAAAAGGAGTTTAGATTACAGAAGCACCTGTTTGTATTGCCTGTATGTCATATGCATGTGAAGGAACATACATGTATGAACTGTTCACATAAATGTATGAACTGTTCACATAAATGTATGAACTGTTCACAGTGCAATCAATTTAATCACACATCTTCTCCATACTTGTTATTTCATAGCTTTAAAGCATTGGTAATACTATACGTACCCTTCCGTACAATATATTCTTGGACACACATAATTCTATATCATAATACTGTCATGTGGCCACAAACTGTAATTGCATGACGGGTACGAGGCACACCAGTATGTATTCTGTGAAGCGGAGACAGAGCTTCTTAAGTACTTGCAGTTGCATAAAACACGTGTTGATCATTCGTCGTTGCGCGGGTGTTTCCGATGCTCAGTGTCAGACTTCGGATGGACCCAGAAGCTGTTGCGTATCTCGTGTTTGATATCCGTATTTGATATAAACGAGACAGATGATGATTGAAGAAAAGCTCCTTCTGAATCACGATCACACACGGGTGCTGGATCATTCCATTAGAAAACACAGGGGTGAGACGATGGTTGGTGTATATGAAAATCACAATTTCAAATTCGGTTGAGCCATTTCATCTCAGATGATTCATTCGTCATCAGACACATTGACACAGACATGTGTCGTCAGACACACATATAAAGGGACACAAACAGGCATCAATCAGATGCCATTGTTGTTGGTTTTTTTGTGGATTTTTTTGAGACACAGACAATGGACAAATGAAGTAATCACAGGTAAGGACCAGTTACACCTGTTGAGGGCACACAGGTAAACGCATGCCCTTTTTGTGCCGTTTCCAGCGGCCTCTGGTAGATCACGTGACCATACATCCTCAGTGACGTTCCCATTTCCTCTTCTGAGTTTTAACGCCGTCCGCCACACTCCGAGCCATGCATATGAGGAAAATCTAAAACAGCAAAAATGTTAAAACTTGTTAGTGAATGTTGACTAACGCAGATCTTTACTCTTTTAGGTATGATTGCATTCATCAGCTAGATATCGTAACCACCATTCCATCATCAATCGGCTCTGCGATACTATGGCAACCTATTCTACCCTGAATACCCTGACAGGCAAAGCCTGCAAGGTGGTGAGTGTCTGACCGGTGGGGGAAAGGGCGAGGCTCTACCCCCAGCCCCGTCATAACTAAAGACGCTAAACGATAGAATATTTTGTTACCCTCGGCCCCGTTCCTAAAAGCGATCGTAGCGCTACGACTAGACTAAGGCTTAGTCTCTGAATATATATAATTTTGATAGTAACAAACAAGCCCATTTATATTGAAAAGGAGCCCTAGGGAGACCAGAGATTCAGAACCTGAGGAAATTTAGACTTGCTTTATTTAGGACTTTAGCACTGCAGAGAGGGCGAGGCAGTAGGGAAATTAATGTGGTTCAGGGACTGTGAGACAGACTACGCTACGACAGTCGTAAGTCTATGTTGAAGTACCGGAGTTACGATCATCTTAGCGCCACGATCGCTTTGGGGAACGGGGCCCTGGTTGTAAAACTGTCGCATTGCACCTCAATGGACCGGCATTATTGCGGACCGGCATTATTGCGGACCAGCTTTAACACATACATACATTACCAGTATTACGCTGTGAAATACTGTTTGTTTTGTTGGTATGTTTGTTTTTGCACTCAGCAATTTTCAAGCTTTGTGGCGACGGTCCGCAAATCGAGTCTGAATCACATAATCCAGAACTTCGCAATTGGGATACGATGACATGTGTCAACCAAGTTAGCGAGTCTGACCACCCGCATACCACCCGATCCCGTTAGTTGCCTCTTACGACAAGCATGGGCTGCTGAAGACCAATTCTAACCCGGATCTTCACGGGTACTGTGAAATACTGAAGACGGAAGTAGAAATCTAGTTACCTGTGGTAAGAGAACACCGAGCATGACCCCTCCAATGATGAGTGAGTGTTGGTTGATCCACGAGCCCAGCGAGTACAAACACCCGTCTGTGTAGATCTTACTGGTGTCCCCGACTGCTAATACACCATCCTAAAAGAAGACGGAAACAAGCACCATGTTAAAACTCGCTATCGATTCTACTTAAAAGTGAGTGAGTGATTCTGGTTTGACGCCGACTTTAGCAATATTCAATCGATTCAAACATTGTGCCACCCAATCAACATATACGGGTATTTAGTAAAGAAGTGGGCGATCCCCAAACACTGCACATTGCATTGTGTCCGCGAACCTGACCACCCGATCCCGTTAGTCGTCTCTTACTATTGAAGGGGCGGTGGGGTAGCCTAATGGTTAAAGCGTCGGCTCGTCACGCTGACGATCCGGGTTCGAATCCCCACATCGGCACAATGTGTGAAGCTCATTTATGGTGTCCCCCGCCGTGATATTGCTGGAATATTGCTAAAAGCGGCGTAAAACCCAACTCACTCACTCACTCACTACTATTGAAGCATAGGTTGCTGAAGACAACCAGGATTTTAAATGGACTTCTGTTGCATTTAGGACATATGTTCTACACTGATGTTCCTGTATGTAGTTGCAGTGTATGTTACAGTTGAGCAAGTGTTGTTTTATGCCACAGTTACCTATATTCAAGTTAGTTAATGATTGTCTGTGCAGGGACAACTCTAAGCAAGTCAAATCAAACGAGTGGGCGATGTGAAGAACATCGATCCATTTCCCTGGGTCACAATAACACTAACAACTAGTCAGTTTGTACTGCCTTCATTCCATTTTTAAAAGCCCAAGGCACAATTTATTAGTCTCGTGCTATCGGACTAGCATGAATTGGAATGCATTACTATTAGCGACGCAGGAGATAGAGAATATATTGCAGAAACATCACAGCGGTCTGTAAATCACGGACATTAAACCTGCCAAACCAACGGTTGAGTGAGTGAGTGAGTGAGTGAGTGAGTGAGTGAGTAGGAGGAGTGAGTGAGTGAGTGAGTGAGGTATTACGTCGCTTTTAGCAATGTTCCAGCAATATCACGACGGGGGACACCAGAAATGGGCTTCACACATTGTTTCCACGTGGAGCCCGGATTTTCGACGTGACGAGCGAACGATGTAAACACTAGGTTACCCCACCACCCCGGTCGATAGAGTGATCAAGAATCTTCCATTTAATACACGTACCTCTATCGTCTGTACCCCGCCACCACACAGAAGATTTATAATCTCTTCCTGAAATTGAGATCAAATTAGGGAGATGGTCAGTTAAGTCATGAGCAAACAGTGTAAAAAATACTATACTAAACTAGACTAAAACGACTTGAAGAATACCGATTCTTTCATAATGCCATAGTTACTCTTTCATAGAATAATATCAAAACCACATATATCTCTGGAAAAACAACAACACGATCATCCTTCCTTTGATGTTTATATTCTGCGACTGAATGTAAGTAATCAAAGTAATATGAAAGAATCGTATCGTTTTTAGTAACTTCTCTGAGGGGCATTTAGAGGTTTGAGTACAAAGTAAGGATATTACATATATATATATGTGTGGATGAACTCCTCTATCACAGTTAGAAGAGATCTTGATGGTGGTTCTTACACTTGCTGAGGCCCAATGTGTATAATATTGGAACCTACACCAAAACGCCGATCCTAATTATACCAAGGTGTTCATACATGTATCTTCTTAGTGTATGTATATACATGTGTGGTAACGCTTTATTCCTTGTTCAATGTTAACATGAAAAGCTGAGAGCTGTCAGGTTTCATAGGCTTTGAATTAGAGGGCTACTAAACGGTGAGTTAGTGAGTGAGAGTTGTCAAGTTGGGGAAAGCTACAACACTCTTCTCAAGCTGACAATAATCCTAGGCATGATGGTAGGACGTTTTGACCACAAGACTACCCGTAGATCTCTATATCCATCTATTATCAATCCAATACATAAATCGAAGACCTTTGATTAAGATACCACCAACAAGAACATTGAAAGTTCCTCAAAATGCAACATATCATTATCAGGTGGCCATACATGAACCACTATCAAACATTACTGATACCATGTGTTCGTGAAAAGCTGAGCATATAATCCCAATCGGTGGCACCCGTCATGCATCTGCACCCCCGAGGATACACGTCACAAACACATGCAAAGGCAAATAAATGAAACTGAATTGGGTTTTTGTATTTCATTTTAAAGCCAATGTTAAATGTGTTTCGTCACTACGCGTTTATAATGGTTATCATAAATGGAAAGTATATTAAGCGTTGACTATTTATTTCCAGGTGTACAGTGTATATTTGTTACAACGGGTATCTGAGGTTTCCGTCTCACCGGCTTAATTATACAGCAGGACGGCGGTACAGAACACCTCTCCGCGCTGGGGTTGTTGGCGGTGCAGTTGAAGTAGGGGTTAGCGTTCCAGTCCTTAAAGCCTTCCTGGTCGTTACTGACGCCGCAACATCCCAACTGAAACAGTCGTCATTTGTTTGCTATATGATGTCCAATGTGTAAAATATACTGAACAGCAAAAGAAACGCAAGTTTCGAAAAATGAAATCTCATAAAAGTAAGCGTTCATGTTGATGGAACGTTCATGGTAAAGTGACAAAAGGCAGACTTGCGTTTCTTTTGCTGTTCAGTATATTTACATTATATTATGAAATACTCCTTAAATATTGTTTTTCACTAACAAAGCATCGGGATTAATTATACTACACGACGCTGAGCACCGAGTTAGGTAACTAGAATGCGATGACATGCAAATTCTATGGAGTCGCCTCTTACGACAGGCAACAATTCTAACAAGGATCCTCGCGGTCTTCAACTCTCTAGGATACGAGAGCCTGTCACAAACTCTAGCCTCATACAACTAACGTGGTTGCTGAAGATCGAGTTTAGCCTGGATCTTCGCGGTTTGTTGACTGTATAAGGTGACCGTTGCTGTATGAAACATTTGCATGTCTAGCGGAAATTGACACCGGGTGTCTCACCAGTTTCTGGAAGTTGTCGATGAGGTTCTGCATGTCGGGATCGTCTCTGTATTTGATGATGGCGTCCTTGAAGTCCTGCTCGGGGAACAACCCCATCTTGTCCCGTACATCCGGGGCGTAGTAGAAGATGAAGGTGATGACGGCCAGAGCCACCTGCCCCAGCAGCAGCAGACTCAGGAAGTAGTGGAACTGAATAATAATAATAAAAATAGTAATAACAACAATAACCACGATAGCGACGACGACGACGACGACGACGATGATGACGACGACGACGACGATGACGATGACGACGACGACGATGATGATGATGATGATGATGACGACGATGATGATGATGAAAACCAAACAAATATGTTGTGACAATTATAAATTATGTAAGTACTCATTTAAGAGACAGAGTCGAGTCGTAGAAGCGGCTGTAAAATCAGCAGTCAACCTTCTGTGGATGACAATAGACTACACTTTACCTTGTCGTGATGTTACTGACTGACTGACTGAGTTTGGTTTTACGCCGCTTTTAGCAATATTCCAGCAACATCACAGCGGGGGACACCAGAAATGGGCTTCACACATTGTACCCATGTGGGGATTCGAACCCGGGTCTTCGGCATGACGAGCCAACGCTTTAACCACTAGGCTACCCCACCGCCCCCGTGGTGTTACTAATATATACGACATGTGACATGTACATGATAATTGTTAACCTGATGTTATTTGTCAGCTCTTGTACCTGCGCTTTTTTCTATTTTATACAAACAAGAACAGTTCGGACAGCGAACTAATATTTAAATCTTAGTGAGTGAGTGAGGGAATTTAGTTTTACGCCGCACTCAGCAATATCCCAGCTATATGGTGGCGGTCTTTAAATCTTAGTAGTAAATAGGGTAATATAGATAAATGCTCGAAGTGAGATAGCCAAACCATGGCATCACTGCGCTGCCACAGCACTAACAATAGAAACATATTTGTTAATTACTTTACTCTCAGGTAGCGTTAAACAATACACTTTTTTATAGAGATAATAAAATTGTTCACATAGATAATAAAACGATAATGACGAGTTTCTTCGTTTAAGCTGATTTGAAGCCGAAATTGATTCACCCGTAAATGTTCTAGAATGTGAAATCTAATAGTAAATAGCGCCATCTGGTTCAAGGCTTGTTCTGCAGAGAGACTTCAGCGACACGACTATGGTAGGTCGCAACTAAATTACTTGCGTTACGATAGTACTGCCACAAAGATCGCTATATGGAAAGAATCCCTGAAGGATATATAGTCTTAAAAAATGTAAGGGAACTTCATTACTTAATTTACGATTGAAAAAAATTGGGAGATATACTGGATTCAATCAATGTTGATATGATAATAATGAATATTTTGAGAGTGCATCACCACTTACACTTCCTTATGACCATAGTTGTTTGTACAGTAATCGCTCTTGAAAGATAATTGGTGTATGGCGTAGAATTGTACGATTTTCATTAAATTTTTTCAAACATAAGAAACGGCTAGAAAGAAACACTAACAACTGTGTGATTGAAGATGATTGTCAATATTAATGGTCTGCAGTTATTTATCGACCTTCCTGAAAATCATGAATGACACCCCTTGCACGTGTATGGGGCTACTGCGTTGTGCACGTGCATGTCATGCGTTGTGTTTATGGGTGGCAATAATGAGATATAGCGTTCATAAGATATCAGTGAAAGGTTTGTTAACGCTGATACTTCGTATCCAAATTGAAAGTTCAGGTTCCCCTATTTTTAGTATGATAGTTTGTCGACATCTTTTCAACACTTGATAAAAACATTCCAACTGAACTACTTACAATTTTAAGGAACACTGTGTTTTCTCGGAGCGAGCCCATGCAGCCGAAGAAAGCGATGAAGGTCATCACTGACCCCACCAGACACAGGACGCAGGAGGGGTCGAGGAAGAAGTCAATGGCGTCCGTCACCAGTTTGTGTTTGGTAACCAGGATGTAGGCGCCAACGGCTCCCATTCCTATCCCGACAAGCTGCAACATTAAGTGAGTGAGTATGATTTTACGCCATCATTTAACAAAACTCTAGGAAAACTGCAAGCTGCAACATTTAGTGAGTGAGTATTTTTAACGTCACCAATTAACAAAACTCTACGAAAACTCCAAGCTGCAACATTAAGTGAGTATGATTTTACGCCGCCAAGTAACAAAACTCTAGGAAAATTGGAAGCTGCAACATTGAGTCAGAGGGTATGAACTTACGCCGCTTTTAGCAATATTCCAAGCAGCAATATTTTGATTTGTAAGATAGATGGTAAACTAGTTAGGTTCTATGCAGCTTTATTCAGTATTCATTATAACGACAATATCAGCGCGGGGGACAACGGAAATGGGCTTCACACCTTTAACACATGTCGGGATTCGAACCCGTGCCTTCGGCGTGACAATCTAAAGCTTCAACAAACAGAACTACACAGGTATCAGCAAATATCTCACGTTAGTGATATCATATCCGCCGAAGCGCCGTGGTGGCGTTCAGTCAACACTGAAAGAACACTTCAACGTGGTTTCATGTTTCAAAATCAACGTTTAAAATAAAAAAATCCGCAAAATGGATAACTGTTGTATAGTTGCCTTAGACATCTATGAAAATATATTGCCTTTAGAGTGACACATTTAGAACATTTTAGGTAAGGAAGGGGTCTGTGGTTGTACATTCATTTCTCATCCGAATCTTCATTGAACCAAGTTATGTTTACCCGAACTTCCCCTGTCCTATAGCTGTTTGCAAACTGTTGCCGGGATGAGTGAGGGTTAAATAACCATAATCAAATGTTTTCTTTGCATTTTCAATTACATTTTAAACAAACAAGCTTTCTTCTGTGACCAGGCCACTCTGGACGCTAGTGTGAGTGTTGGAACCGGCCGCCATTACTAAATCACAATCCGACTAATATGACGATCGGGCGGTTAAAATGGGTGACTTGGAGTCTTATTATCATGACAGTATGGAACGAGGACGGTGATTTTTAAATCTCTTGTGTATCCGTTTGATAAACAAGAAAATGTTTGTTTGTTTGTTTGTTTAACGCCTGCTTGGTGTATAAATACTCGAGTCTGAACCAAACAATCCAGTGACTGGTACTTTGAGCATCGAACCTTCGTGGGAAACGAAGACATGTGTCAACCAAGTCAGCGAGTCTGACAACATAATCCCGTTAGTCGTCTCGTAGGACAAACATGGGGTGCTGAGGACCAATTCTAACCAGGATCTTCACAGTCCAGCAATGCAAACTACTAAAGATACAGTTTACCTGTCTAGATGGTTGTAAGTGCGGATTTAGTTTATTTTGATTTGAGTGATTGATGCATATTTGGGATAGAATTGCAAACTACACAGACACGGACATGATCGATGACATTAATCGATATGTACTGAACACAAGAAGAGGTCATAAATAATGTTGGGAACATCTTTATGATATTCACCACAAAAATATAATCCCAAAAATGATGTTGATACCTAACATTTTTTTTTCGGTGTACCTACAACACCATAACCTGTGTACTTCCACCCAAATACAGGAGTCAGTGACAAATCTAGTAAACGAACGACGCAGTGAAAATTATTCAATTTCAGTGTATTGCTGATTATGTCTTCCTCATCTGACAACGTTATTTCCCTTGTGTATACAGTCGGAAATGGGAGAGACACGCGACAACTTATGAGTAGATGCAATTGATCTTGTCGTTACACATGCACAACGGAAGTAGTATGAGCACAATCATTGTGGCGGCCAGTTAGTTAGTTAGTGGGTGAGTGAGTCCGTTTAGGGCCGTTTTGTCAGACATGCTCACTTTAGTTCTCTAGCTTGAGATACCCTGTGTCATACCCAACATTAACTCACCATGTGTCACACCTTACATTAACTCACCCTCCGTCATACCCTACATTAACTCGCCACGTGTTACACCTTACATTAACTCACCCTCCGTCATACCCTACATTAACTCGCCACGTGTTACACCTTACATTAACTCACCCTCCGTCATACCCTACATTAACTCACCATGTGTCACACCTTACACTAACTCACTCTCCGTCATGCCCTACATTAACTCGCCACGTGTTACACCTTACATTAACTCACCCTCCGTCATACCCTACATTAACTCACCCTCCGTCATACCCTACATTACCTCACCCTGCGTCATGCCCGCTGGTAACATAACCCATGTCACATCCTACAGTAAATACTTGTACCATATCGCAAATTAGAAGCACCCTCGTCATACCCCACTGTGTCACACCCTATAGTACACATCTTTGGCTTACCCTAAAGGAGTGAGTGAGTGAGTATGGTTTTACGCCGCTTTTAACAATATTCCAGCAATATCATGACAGGGGACACCACAAATGGACTTCACACATTTTACCCATGTGGGGAATCAAACCCTGGTCTTCGGCGTGACGAGCGAATGCTTTAACCCCTCAAATACCCCACCGCCATTACCCTAAAGGAACATACCCTGCGTCCGACCTATAGTAACATAGGCATCGTCATACCCTTGATAGGAATACCATATATCATACAATATAGTAACATATAGTGCGTTATAAAGAGGCAGCATCGTGATTACACAATGCCATTTAGAAAGTGGTCAAATGTAACATATGTTATATTTGGGATTACACTTTCTTAGTAAAGTACAGATTCTTGTACTTTTGTTGGGTTGAGTCCCATCCGGGATTCGAACCCACGCCCTCAGAGTCAGGCACCAAATCGCCAGCACACAAAGTCAGCCGCCTAACCTGCTCAGCCACCGCGGCTTCCACCTAGTTACAGGCAGTATCGTGACTATATAACCCGTCAAACAGTGATCACCAGATCTGTAATACAAACAACGTGACAGTATCTATTTCGGAACCCGTTAGTAACATACTAAACAAGGGAAACATCGTGATCTATATGTCAGGCATATGTCACTGGAGACTCTCCCTGACGTATACAGGTCACCCTTTCACCTAGCCAGGATACTGTACACTCTTATCAGTTAATACATACTGAGAAGACTTCCTGGTCTGAAGTAATCGGTAGACTTACTCTCAATGCGTTGGTCAACATTAAGAGCGACGTTGAACCAGACAGTGGTCTCAGCTTACGATTTAAATAATTAAAACAATTCTTAAAGTTAACGAAAAGTGAACGCATACGACTAAGATTACATCCGGGGATTTCACTGTGAACCTTGATGATTGAGCCAGACGTTGGTCCATGAACTAAAGATACGAATGCGTTCAAATAAAATCATAATTTTTAAATTAGGAGATACACGTACTGTGTTTGGAAATTAGATGAATGTTAGACCGAATTGATAGTCTCTAAATTAATCATTTGAAACCTCACGCTACGCGTTCGGCTTCAAATGAATCTTAGAGACTGTCAATTCGGTCTCTAAATTTCATTTGAAGCCGGACGCGTGGCGTGAGGTTTCAAATGATTAATTTAGAGACTATCAATTCGGTCTAACATTCATCTAAGTTCCAAACACAGTATGTTTATCTCCATTCTACCATAACCGATTTAACATCGAACTTCCTCGTCCTGCGGAAGACACTGCGTAATCCGGCATGGGACGAGAGGCGAATTGAACTCGTCTGTGAAGGGAGTGGTAGTTTCCGTTCGTATTTTTTGTTAACATTGCAACATAAAAACTATTCTGACCAAAGAAAACAAATTACTGTTTATTCAATGCAATAATGTAACACCTAAGATCTTGTTTTTTTATAATCATAACTCCACACGACCGAAACCAGCCTATTGTTTTGTGTGCCGTGTTGCTGTACCCCCCTGGCCACACTGTAATAGAATCGTCTGACCTACTTATTTTCTTCGAAGTAGACAGTTACGCAACAGTTTGAAATGGCGGACGAGCCAGTGTTTACATTTTGCGAAAAGTTGAAATTCGAAGTGACAGTGGAAAATACTTGACTGACTGTCGAACCTGAACCCTGCAGAATCGAAGAATAGATCCTTTTCTGATCGACCTATGACCTGTAACTCATCAAAGACTGTTGATTTTTATGACCGGTGAGTGTCGATCATAATTTCACGTACGTGCCTCTACCCCGGCATGCGACGAAAGAGTGACAGTGCTGTTTTGTATACATGCGACTAACTTGGGATTCCTTTGAACATTGTTCTCGTCATTTGGGACTGGATTGTGGCCAAGCTTTTCAAAGTGTACGAACAAAGCAGTGACAGCCTTGCGGGGAAGGTGGCAGAGAGCGGAATTCTCATGGTTCAATTTTTGACATTTGAACGATGCAACGAGACATGATGGAGTATGAGCGGCAAATTTTGTGTTTTGCCTCACCGTTATCTTGCGAATTTCCTATTCTAAACGGAAATAAATATACCATTTACCAGGTAGGTAAATGTTTACGAGCGTTTTGCCGCACAAATAGGGATAGATATGGATGTATTTTTACAAGGTTTTCTGATTTATATGTTAGATATTGTTTGTTTATGTTTAGGGCTGTGTATTGTAATTGAGTTTGAATATTTTTATAACAGAAAGTAATAATTATGATAGTGAGGTTCCCTAATAATTGTGGAGGAGAAATCGCATAATTGTATTTTTCGAGTTTTAATAAATGTTTCATCAGCATTTCCATCACGTCTGTTGTGTTGATATTAGTCACGTGGCCAAGCTGAAGTAGTGCGGCAGTGGTGTATACGTGCGCAGTGAAGCGCCGTGAAATCAGACGCATTTTCAATCCAAATTGATACCGTCTGATTTTATGGATTGACCAATCAAATTCGAGCATTTCACGTAGCCATGGTAGAATGACCCGTGGCACCTCAAGGTACCATCAAATCTCTTAATTTCAGTAGAGTTGACGAGTGAAGGATTGTAGAATGCTGGATGACAAGGGGATGGGGGGAATAATTTATTAAATATTTGGTCTCGGGAATGTAAGAGTGTAATCACTGTAATAGTGTTTTCAATTTCCATCAACATCACGTCCG